ATCAGTTTTATACTAATTTATGCAATAGTTTTAATACGAAATAAATAAATCAGTGGAGCCGCTGGATGCGAGAGGTACAGAACCACTTGGAATTCCCTCCACTGTCCAACCGAAAGATTCATGTCTCGCCTGGTCTGGCCGCAAGCAGAAATCCCGTTAAGGTTCCTTAACGAAAGCCTCTGGGAAGAGATTGTGGTTGGTGCCGGTCAGAAGCAGAGGGACAACCCTCATCTGATCACTTAGCTGCTTGCTCTGCAGTCCTGGGAAGCCTTCCTAAGAAGATTTACAATGTACAGATGTCAAAGGCAATTAATTCAGTCGCAGGCTGTTGGTATTATTAGAAGAGGGAATATCCTGATGTGGCTGAGCGGGGCTTTCTCGTAATGTACAAGTGACAGCCTTTTAAGACCAATGCAGAGTTAAATATGCCACGGCTTGGTAGGTTTCTTCAACCTGGTTTAGAACAGAAATAGAACAGTGTGAAGGAAGGAAGGAAGGAAGGGGAGGGAGGAGAGCAAAAGATCTCTTCTCCACTCCATGACTGGCTCACTGAAGCATGGCGCCATTAGCGCAAGCAAATGTAATGAGGTGACGTGAGCCCGGCTTCAGGCCGCTTCCCTCCAAAGCGAAAACGGTGGAAGCTCTCCGCCTCCCGGCTCGGTGGCATGATTCCCAGCACTGCAGAGAGTGTTGCCGCCGCCGTGGGTGTTGCACCAAATGCCTCCGTCAGCCAAAGAGTCAGGAGGAGAGACGTTCGAAAACATCTCATTTCTCGGGAGAACATCCGGAGTCGCTTGTGTAGTGGGCAGCGTGGCAAGGGAAACAAGTGGGAAGCTTCAGCTAGATGCATCCTTTGTGCGTGTGCTCAAAACAGACTCACACAGATACCTGTTAGTAAGCTCTGAGTTAAGCAGAGTTTGCATACCAACCATTTCCATCTCTAGTAATGTGTAATGCTATCTGATGTGGGATTCTGGTAATGTTTTTCAAGATCTTCCTGACTGGGAGAGCTGTTCAGCAGTGGAACTCTCTGCCTCAGAGTGTGGTGGAGGCTTTTAAACAGAGGCTGGAGGGTCATCTGTCGGGTTTGCTTCGAATGCAATTTTTCTGCTTCTTGGCAGAATGGGGTTGGACTGGATGGCCCAGGAGATCTCTTCCAGCTCTATGATTGTAAGAACTTCCTGATTGGGAGAGCTGTTCAGCAGTGGAACTCTCTGCCCCGGAGTGTGGTGAAGGCTCCTTCGGGTTTACTTTGAATACAATTTTCCTGCTTCTTGGCAGAATGGGGTTGGACTGGATGGCCCACGAGGTCTCTTCCAACTCTAGGATTGCAGTTATCTTTTACTGGAAAATTGTTATGAATTGTAATATAAATATCTGATATGCATGATATATTTTAATTGTTACAAATTCAGCATAATTAAAGCATCATGATTAATCTGAAAAAATATTTTTGGGGGAGTGTGGAAAACAGATGATGGGATTTGCAGTACCTTCAACCGATTCACGGTGTTCCTTCACTCTTTCACGGAGGACCCCTCACCTGCCTCACTCCCTCGCCGAATGGCAGGAGAGTGAGGTAGGCGAGACGGGCTTTGTGGGGGCCAGGCCCGCACGGAGGACCCCTCGCCTGCCTCGCTCCCTCGCTGAATGGTGGGAGAGTGAGGCAGGCGAGGTGGGCTTTGCATGGGCCAGGCCCGCACAGAGGACCCCTCGCCTGCCTCGCTCCCTCTCCGAATAACGGGAGAGTGAGGCAGGTGAGGTGGGCTTTGCACGGGCTAGGCCCGCACGGAGGACCCCTCGCCTGCCTCGCTCCCTCGCCGAATGGCGGGAGAGCGAGCCAGGTGAGGCAGGCTTTGCAGCAGGCCAGGCCCACACGGAGGACCCCTCGCCTGCCTCGCTCCCTCGCCAAATGGTGGGAGAGCGAGGCAGGCGAGGCGGACTTTGCGGGGGCCAGGCCCGCATGGAGTACCCCTCGCCTGCCTCACTCCCTCGCCGAATGGCAGGAGAGTGAGGCAAGCGAGGCGGGCTTTGCATGGGCCAGGCCCGCAAGGAGGACCCCTCGCCTGCCTTGCTCCCTTGCTGAATGACGGGAGAGTGAGGCAGGCGAGGTGGGCTTTGCGGGGGCCAGGCCCATACGGAGGACCCCTCGTCTGCCTCGCTTCCTCGCCGAATGGTGGGAGAGCGAGGCAGGTGAGGCTGCCTTTGCAGCAGGCCAGGCCCGCACGGAGGACCCCTCGCCTGCCTCTCTCCCTCACCGAATGGCGGAAGAGTGGGGCAAGCGAGGCGGGCTTTGCAGAGGCCAGGGGCGGGGCCAACGAGGGTGGCCTCGCGACCCCTCCAAAATGGCCAGACGACCCCCTGGGGGTCGCGACCCCCCGTTTGAGAACCGCTGTTCTAGAACATGGCCACATAGCCTGAAAAACGTACAACAACCCCGTGATTCCAGCCATGAAAGCCTTCGACAGTGCACTAGGATTTGTCTCCTTTCTTGAGCATGTTGAAGGTTGTACATTTTTGCTGGCTGGTATTGGATTTCCAGCCTCTTGCTCAGTGCTAAATGGTATCTAGCGTGAGAAAACACTCGTCCAAAGTCTCTTGACATCTCCTGTGGGGCGAGCTTCATTAACACACAGGTTAAAGCTGAAAGCTGTGTGGGTAGACGGCACAATGCTTGGAAACTGTGTGTGCGTGGATGGTATCTGAGTTAAAAGGCTGGAACGTCACCCTTGATAGGGTATTATTTGGTGGGTACGGCTGGTTTTATTTTATTTTTAACCCCATCTTTAAGTAAATTACATAAACATGGAATTCTAAAAATTGAAATAGGAGATTTAGCCTGCGCACTTATAATTCGCTTGCATAATGGCACTCTAAATTTACCGTTTTGAAAGGGTGCCGGTGGCCATAAAACTGATAATCTGAGCAGTACTGAGGAAAATGGCTCTCGAAAGGGATGGGCTTCGGCTGCTGCCCAGCAGGGAGAACCTGCTTTGCCTGCTTCGGGTTCAGTGTCCCCAAGTAGACCGCTCTCTGAAACCCTGGAGAGAGACTGCTGAGTATGGAGAGTATGTGCTGTGTGCTTTGAGATCTCTCTCTGTGTGTGTGTCAGAGAGATGTTGTGCTTGGATGATTTCCCCCTCTCTTTAAACCTTCGAAGAGATAGGTGTGAGAGTAGCTCAGACCCAGTTAATTTACCACGGAAAAATGTACCACTGAGAAATTTACCACTGAGAAATTATCTATATAAATAAAAATGTAATGTTCGTTTGAGGGATTAACATAACTCAAAAACCACTGGATGAATTGACACCAAATTTGGACACAATACACCTCTCAGGCCAACAAGTGACCATCACTCATAGAAACACTGAAAAACACAGTAGAAGAGACTTAAAAAGCAAAAGGAACCCCCCAAAATTACATTACGACACATGCGCACATATATGTGTGTGTGTGTGGATATGTAATGTTCGTTTGTGAAATTAACAGAACTCAAAAACCACTGGGGGAATCGACACCAAATTTGGACAAAAGACACCATTAAACGCAATCTATGTCCTTCACTCAAAAAATTCCTCACCAAAAAACAATAAGACCTTTAAATTGTAAAAAGGAAAAACAGAACACAGTGCTTATGGAGTTCAGTGGCTTCTCTGTGTAGTCCGACATGGTGGTTGTGAGAGTGGTCCAGCATTTCTGTGTTCTCAAATAATATACTGTGTCCAGGCTGATTCATCAGGTGCTCTGCTATGGCTGACTTCTCTCGTTGAAGTAGTCTGCACTTGCCTTTCATGTTCCTTGACTCGTGTTTGGGCAGTGCTGCTGCGTTTGGTGGTCCCTATGTAGACTTGTCCACCTCTGCATGGTATATGGTAGACTCCTGCAGAATTGAGAGGATCTCTCTTGTCCTTTGCTGAACGTAGAATTTGTTGGATTTTCTTGGTGGGTCTGTAGGTAGTTTGTATGTTGTGTTTCCTCATCAGCTTCTCAATGCGGTCAGTGGTTCCCTTGATGTATGGCAAGATCCAAATGCACTGTTTCCAAGATGCAAGCTGTCTTCTCCTTGGATTTCTTTGAAAGCATCCCAATCCCTGCATATTTCCAATTTCCTATTCCTGGACTGCAACTCCCAGCAATCTTCCAGATAGATAGATTTAGATAGAGATAGATTGTGGCGCAGGTGGCTGAGTGTCAGCTGCATTAAGATCACTCCGAACACCGGGTTTGAGTGGGTTTCCAACCAATTGTGTAGCCTGTTGTCGACCTTTGCAACCCGAAAGACAATTGCATCTGTCAAGTAGGAAAATTAGGTACCACCTTAAAGTGTGGGGAGGCTAAATTAACTAATTTATGAGGCCATAAAAAGACTCCAGCAAAGCACTACAGCAAAAAAGCATGCGGGGAATGCGGAAGTACTTCATCAGTGTCGCAGATGGACGATGAAAGCGACAGCTCCCCTGGTGGCCAGAAAAAGTTAAATAGCCTCTGTGTATGTCTGTATATGTTGTATGTTAAAATTGGCATTGGATGTTTGCCATATATGTGTACACTGTAATCGGCCCTGAGTCCCCTGCGGGGTGAGAAGGATGGAATATAAATGCTGTAAATAAATAATAATAAATAGGTAGGTAGGTAGACAGATTGATCAGGAGGACTCCTGGGAGTTGCAGTCCAAGAATAGGTAGAGAAGGAAGAAAGGGGAGAAAGAAAAGGGAAGGGAAAAGGAGGGGAAGGAAGGGAAGAGGAAGAGAAGAAAGGAAGGAGAGAAAAAAGGGGGAAGAAGAAAGAAAAGAGGGAAGGAAGGAGAGAAGAAGAGAGAGAGAGAGAGAAAGAAGGAGAGAAAGAGGGAGGGAAGGTTGGCCACAGCAACGCGTGGCAGATACAGCTAGTAGCATTATATTTGCAAACTTATTAAGCACAGCACACTTGCGTAGTGTAGCCTTTGCTGTCCTGTATCATACTATTATCTTACTCTGTTTCCCTTCTTTTTTTTCCAGTAACTGCCCTTCCCTCCTGGCGGCTGCATTAGCCCGGGCCACAGCAGATGAAGTCCTGCAGAGTGACCTCTCCGCCCTCTACTTGCCCAAACATTCGGACAGCCCTGATGGGATCATACGTAAGTGCCTCTATGAACTATGTGGATGTTATCGTGGTAGACAGCCCTCTCTCTGGACTTTCAAATGCCTGTGGTGGAGGAAACACGTAACATCTGGGATGAAATTGTCCCATTTCTTGGGTGGTGGGCAGCATGGTGTATGGGGAGGGCATTGGCAGGGGTTGGGCTACATGTTCAATGCTGCTCGCTATAACCTGTAATGCCCTTGGAGGGAGGGCTTTTGGTGACTCCACAGCTCTGTGAGTTAAAGCTGTTTGTGGAGGCGGGAGCCTGTCTGTGGAATTGGGCATCCCAGCCCACATAGGAAAAGATTGGGTAAAGGTTTTCCCCTGACATTAAGTCCAGTCGTGTCCGACTCTGGGGGTTGGTGCTCATCTCCATTTCTAAGCCAAAGAGCCGGCGTACACACATACATACTTTCACCTTTATTAGAGACTAGCCGTCCCCTGCCACGCGTTGCTGTGGCCCACTCTGGTCGTCATGGGGGTTCTGCGTGGGAGGTTTGGCCCAATTCTATCGGTGGTGGGGTTCAGAATGCTCTGTGATTGTAGGTGAACTATAAATCCCGGCAACTACAACTCCCAAATCTCAAGATTTTCCCCAAACTCCACCAGTATTCACATTTGGGCATATTGAGTATTCCTGTAGAGTTTGCTCCAGATCCATCATTGTTTGAGTCCACAGTGATCTCTGGATGAAGGTGAACTACAACTCCAAAACAAAAGGACACTGCCCACCAAACCCTTCCAGTATTTTCTGTTGGTCATGGGAGAACTGTGTGCCAAGTTTGGTTCAATTCCATCGTTGGTGGGGTTCAGAATATTCTTTGATTGTAGGTGAACTATAAATCCCAGCAACTACAACTCCCAAATGTCAATATTCTATTTTCCCCAAACCCCACCAGTGTTCACATTTGGGCATATTGAGTATTCGTGTACAGTTTGGTCCAGATCCATCATTGTTTGAGTGCACAGTGCTCTCTGGATTTAGGTGAACTACAACTCCAAAACCAAAGGACACTGCCCACCAAACCCTTCCAGTATTTTCTGTTGGTCATAGGAGAACTGTGTGCCAAGTTTGGTTCAATTCCATCGTTGGTGGGATGCAGAATGTTCTTTAATTGTAGGTGAACTATAAATCCCAGAAACTACAACTCGCAAATGACAAAATCAATTTTTTGAGTGAAGGACATACGTTGGGTTGTTAGGTGTCTTGTGTCCAAATTTGGTGTCAATTCGTCCAGTGGTTTTTGAGTTCTGTTAATCCCACAAACCAACATTACATTTTTATTTATATAGATGAGTAGTGTAGTTCTTTTGCTCTCTCCTGAAAACCATAGATCTTAAAGAAACTCTCCCTGCTCTGCATTTTTTGGGGGGGAGCAATTGTTTGTTGTTTGTGCCGAGTGTTACGGAAAACTTTCCTAAAATATACAGCAGAGCATCCCAAAACAAACAGGATACAAAAGTTGCGCATTCAGCTCATTAGCGAGCAGAGTGTGAAGTGTGTTTTTGTCTTTTTAAGTCCCTTCCGCTGTGTTTTTCAGTGTTTTTATGAGTGACAGTCACTCATTGGCCTGATAGGTGTCTTGTGTCCAAATTTGGTGTCAATTCATCCAGTGGTTTTTGAGTTATGTGTGTCTCACAAATGAACATAACATTTATATAGATAGATAGATAGATAGATAGATAGATAGATAGATAGATAGATAGATAGATAGATAGATAGACAGACTAGCCGTCCCCTGCCAGGCGTTGCTGTGGCCCAGTCTGGTGACCTGGAAAATAAAGTAATGAGAAAGTGTTGGTTTCTAATATATGTAATTTCTTTATGCTTGTGGGTAAACAGTATTTCTTGCTGCTTCTTTGTCTGGTTTGCCTACTCTGGAGCATACAACATATCATTGTCCTTCTTGGGGTCCCTTTCAAATCTATGATACTATATCTGTGTATGTTCTGTCACCGCTGGGCCTGTATTTGGTTGGCTTTAAATATAGGATGTGTAACCTTTGCCCAGCGGGAAGCCAGGGGCCTAAGGAGAAGTTCTCAGAGGTTTCCACTACAAAAGAGTCTTGATATGGCTTGAAAAATACAACAAAGTCTTTTATTAATTAATCAAACAGGTACTTCAAAGCTTTCTTGATAAAGAATTAGTTCTCTCAATCTTGCCCACAGGGGACAGGCACTATCTTCAATAACTTTCTCTAAAGGAAAATTCCCCTTTTTTAACTTCTCCCAAGGCTGACTAAAATCCAACCCTCACTGGTGTGGGTTCCACTACCAGGCCAAACTGCTTCTCGAGCGCTGAGAGAACCTACCAGCAAGGCAATGGATGTTCTGTTCTTTATACCTTAAGGCTGTCTTCCTGGAAACTCTCAAGGCTGTGGAAGGCTTACCTGGAGTTCTTAGGAGATACTTAAAGCTGTTCTCCCCTGGAAATTCTTTCCCTTGAGATTCTGTTAGAGTTTCTGTGACCCTGGAATTCTTAAAGGTTGAAGCCTTTGTACAGGGGAAGCAACACACATCCCATACATTGGCTAACCTGGCCGAAACTAAACTCAAAATGGCTCACTTCCCTACCAAAGCCCAAAAAGGGGGCGGGACTAGGGAACCTAACTATAATTGACAGGTGGCTTGCCCTAAGATTGCAGCCAAAAGAAGCCACCTATCTGCAGAGTCCCTGAAACATAGGACTACAACAAACATTCAATGCAAAGCAAACAAAATTGGAGCTCCAGGTACAGTTGTACCTGCACAGTGTGTGTGAATCATATCTTTCTATCTATATCTATGGCTGGATGGCTCTTTGTCAGGAGGGCTTTGATTATGTTTTCTTGCCCTGGTGAAGGGAGTTGGACTGGGTGGCCTTAAGTATTTTCTGTTGCTCATGGGGGTTCTGTGTGGGAAGTTTGCCCCAATTCTGTCGTTTGTGGGGTTCAGAATGCTCTTTGATTGTAAGTGAACTGTGAATCTCAGTGACTACAACTACCAAATGTCAAGGTCTATTTCCCTCAAACTCCATCTGTGTTCATATTTGGGCATATGGAGTATTCGGGCCAAGTTTGGTCCAGATCCATCATTGTTTTGAGTCTACAGTACTCTCTGGATGTAGGTGAACTACAACTCCCAAACTCAAGGTCAATGCCCACCAAACCCTTCTAGTGTTGTCTGTTGATCTTCGGAATTTTGTGTGCCAAGTTTGAAAAAATTCCGTCGTTGGTGGAGTTCAGAATGCTCGTTGATTGTAAGTGAACTATAAATCCCAGCAACTACAACTCCCAAATGACAATATCAATTTTTTGAGTGATGCTCATTCTTTGGGTTAGTAGGTGTCTTGTGGCCAAATTTGGTGGCAATTTGTCCAGTTGTTTTTGAGTTATGTTTGGTCCAGATCCATCATTGTTTTGAGTCTACAGTGCTCTCTGAATGGAGGTGAACTACAACTCCCAAACTCAAGGTCAATGCCCACCAAACCCTTCTAGTGTTTTCTGTTGGTCAGGGGAGTTTTATGTGCCAAGAGTGCTTCAGTTCCATCATTGTGGAGTTCAGAATGCTTTTTGATTGTAGGTGAACTATAAATCCCAGCAACTACAACTCCCAAATGACAAAATCAATTTTTTTGAGTGATGGTCACTCCTTGGGTTAGTAGGTGCCTTGTGGCCAAATTTGGCGGCAATTCGTCCAGTGTTTTTTTAGTTATGTTAATCCCACAAACAAAAATTACCGTTTTGTTTATATAGCGAGCAGATAACATGATAGAAGATACAACCTTCTGCGAGCACAAGGTTGAGAAATGACTAGTTTGTAAGCATGGCTGCCTTTCACATCCTTTGCAGGTGAACGAAGCAGATTTGTCATTGTTCTGGCTGAGCAGCCCTCATTAGTTCCAAATTGAGATCTCTTAAACTCGCATAAATATTTGACAGTCTCCAAGGAAATGTTGACGTTTTTCAGACTAATCACCTGCACAGAATATTTGAGGAAGCTGCCCTGCTCTGAAAACCTTGGTGCGCAGAGCCAAAAACACCTTGATGTGGCAATGAGTGGCCTGGAAACACGGATCGTTGCCCACAACCTGGTGGCAGATGGTAGTGTTGGAGCCCTGTACCAAAACATGAGAGCCATCATGGGCCAGCGGCTAAGATGTGCCTCTGAATCGAATCCCAGCTGGTGCCAAGCTTCTTGGGAGACTCGGAGGAAAACTGCTCCTTTCGCTTCCACTATCAAAATATAATACTAATAATAATAAACTACATATATTTATATTACACTAGCCGTCCCCTGCCACACGTTGCTGTGGCCCACATGGGGGTTTTGTGTGGGAGGTTTGGTCCAATTCCATTGTTGCTGGGATTCAGAATATTCTTTGATTGTAGGTGAACTATAAATCCCAGCAACTACAACTCCCAAATGTCAAGGTCTATTTCCCTTAAACTCCATCTTTTTTCATATTTGGGCATATGGAATTTTTGTTTCAAGTTTGGTCCAGATCCATCATTGTTTGAGTCCACAGTGCTCTCTGGATGTAGGTGAACTACAACTCCCAAACTCAAGGTCAATGCCCACCAAACCCTTCCAGTGTGTTCTGTTGGTCATGGAAGTCCTGTATGCCATGTTTGGTTGAATTCCATCATTGGTGGAGTTCAGAATGCTCTTTGATTGTAGGTGAATTATAAATCCCAGCAACTACAACTTCCAAATGTCAAGGTCTATTTCCTCCAAACTCCATATGTGTTCATATTTGGGCATATGGAATATTCGTGCCAAGTTTGGTCCAGATCCATCATTGTTTGAGTCCACAGTGATCTCTGGATGTAGGTGAACTACAACTCCCAAACTCAAGGTCAATGCCCACCAAACCCTTCTAGTGTTTTCTGTTGATCATGAGAGTCCTGTGTGCCAAGATTGGTTCAATTCCATCGTTGGTGGAGTTCAGAATGCTCTTTGATTGTAGGCGAACTATAAATCCCAGCAACTACAACTTCCAAATGTCAAGGTCTA